GGGGAGTTGTATTGTCTGGAGGACCCAACTGCGTCCCCTCGCTGTCAGAGGCTAGCAGGGTCTGGCCACACAGTTGCCATCTGAACTCTCAGCTCGTGGCATCTGTAGGGCCCTCACCCCCAGAGCCCCTTTCTCAGCACACATGGCCTGGGGCAGGGCTGGCTGGCCCTCAGGTATATTTCGTTTGTCCCATATGGGAGGTTTTTTGTTGTTGTTTGGAGAGGTTTTTACTATAGGGCACGTGCTCGCCAGAAAGACAGAGCCAGAGAGACAGAAAGCGAGAAATCACCCCCTGGGGGGGATGGCCATGCCGCAATCCCTTCTCCATTCTCCTCTGGGGATCTTGGGCATGCACGTACATGCGCCCAGCGTGAGTTTAAGCCACTGGGTCCGGTACGCGAACCATGGTCGACTACGTGGGAGTCCAGCGACATAGCTATTGCACTAACTGCTGGTTTCCCCATATGGGAGTTTTTAAAGCCTGGAAGTCATTGATAACATTGAAGATCAGGTGATTTCACATTAAAATGGGGCTTCCCAGCTTGCCTGGAACAGGAACTCTGGCTGAGGTCAGGCCCCTGGGTCATTCCGGGCCTGCTGCTCCCTGCCACTTTACAGCAGGCCCAGAGTATTTCCGCTTGCAGTCACTGCTGTGTGGCTTCTGCTCAGACTGTCCCATGCCTCTTCCCTTGGGCTGTGTGTCCTGCATAGATGCCCCTCCTAGGTGACAGGGACAAGCCAAGGGACGGACTGTGTCAGACCAGAGGTATGCCAGGATGTCTGGGCAGGGTTGGGAAGGAGACATGGGTTGGAGGGGAGCCCTAGAGAAGGGGCCTAGAAGTTGCTTTTCCCAGCAAGCACACCCTGGCTGCCTCACTGCCCATTGATTGCAGGAGCCCAGCGTCCCCACAGATCCCAGTTGGCACTGCCACTCACCATGTTCTGGGTCTTGGGCTGTGGCTTTGGGTCACATCTGGGCTCTAGACCTTCTGTGACTTACCCCTGGGCCTGTTAGGGTCAGAGCCCTGCCCAGTGGCTGTTTCAGATGCCAGACCCCCTGAGTGGGGGTGGCAGGAGAGGTGCCTACACCAGCTCTCACGTCCGGCCCTCTGCCAGGCCAGCAGTCATGTTCTGTGTTCTGGACCCAGACCCAGCTTGCCTGTGTTTATGAGGCCTAGGGTCAGGCCTGTGCCTGCTGTTGGCTGACACTTGGGGCTGGGTGCCATGACCCCATTTCCTGGCCCGTGCCACGGCGGGTCGGGTGCTTTTGCCTGATGGAGCTGCCCAGGTGGCTCTGCCTGAGGCAAGGAAGACTGGCCTGACCTGTCAGAGAAGCCAGGCCTGCCCTCTGTGACTTCCTGCCCCCTGCCCCCAGCGCCTGAGTCAGTGGGCTGGGTGGGGTGAGGGCGGCCAGGTCAGTCTTCTTCAGAGGTTGGTTTAGAACAGGTGGGCCATCAAGGCATGGTGGAACCCCCAGACCTGCTCCCCAGTATCTGCCAGGGCAGCAGAGAGGCCACAACAGAGGGACCCCTGGGACAGCCGTGGCGCCCAGCCTACTTGCTCTCAGCCTCTGCCCCGAGCCCCTTTCCTCTCATCCCCACGCCTCTCACCCTGTCCCCACACAGCAGCCAGTGTAGTCGGTTATGTCCCCTTTGCTCCAGGTACTCCATCAACCCAGCCTCTGTGGCACAGCCAGTAGCCTGCCAGGCCCCAGAGCTGGAAGCCACAGGCCGACCTCAGTTCAAGCCCCTGGTCATGGGCCCGAAATCACACCTGGTGTGCACACACCCCCGCGTCCTGGAGCGCTGGAGGCGGGGCCCACGTGTGCCCGAGCCCTGTGGCCTCTCTCTCTCCCTGTACCTGCACATGCCCTGTCGTGAATGAAAAGGGACACAGGCCTTCAGCGTTTCACTGCTCCTTCACCAGGGCAGACGCCCACCCCAGCCCACCGCTGCTGTGCAGGCCACCGGGCACATTGTCCTGTTCCTCCGGTAGGCCGCACACCCCCTGCCCGGGATGTGTTCGACACCTCCATGACTTCAGGTCATGGGAACGTGGCCCAACCATGACCGAATCCCCTCCCCGCCTCGTGTCCTCAGAGGCCACGTTCTTCATGAGTGTATCTGTGGGTCGTGTCTGCCTCTGGCACCAGGCTGTGACTCCCTGAGGACAGATAGGTCTGTCACGCCCACCTCGGGTCACACCTGCAGACTGAGCCGAGGGCAGGCACCAACTCACCAGGAATGAATGAAGGGACAAGTGAGTGAGTGACAGTCCTCTTAGAGCCACCAATGGGGACCTGCTTCCGGCCCACTGGAGCCAGTGTTGGCGTGGGGCACCCCAGGCCACACCACCTTTTGGTCCTCACTGCCCTCCACACCACAGCAGACGACAGTCGGGCCAGGCTGAGAAGACAGAGCTAATCTCGGCAGCCAGGCTGAGGTAATTAGGGGCCTGTGTTACTCACAGGTGACAGCCCAGGGTGCTCCAGGCAGCCGTGGAGACACCCAGGACCCCACCCACTTGCAGTGTGCTCTGTGGCTCCAGGCAGGGAGGCAGGGAGGCAGGGGAGGGGGCTGCTAGACTCTTGGCTGCCTGGGTGAAGAATGGAAGCAGCTGTGCTGACCGGTGACCTCTGCCTGCCTGGACCACAGTGGGGTCAAGCTGTGTCTTAGGGTGAGTGTCCCCAGAGACAGGGAATGAATCTAGGAGGGAGAAGCAGAAACAGATAGGCCTGACGGAGTACTCCCGGGCCTCCATTCTGAAGAGCTGTGGCCCGGAGGCGGCGCTGGTGGGTCCGGGGCTGGGAGGGGCCAGTCTCTGGGCAATGGCCCCTAGACAGTGACGGCCTGCCCTCTGCTGGGACCAGAGTAGGGATGGGAACACCGCGTCTGGCAGCTTAGCCTGGCTGAGCCCTTGGAGGGCAGGGACCCCAGCAGCTGGTGGAGGCGCTAGACTCTGGTCAGCGTGGAAGGGCGTCCTGGTCCGAGATGTCATCAAGGCCCAGGGAGTATGAGGTGACAAGTGGATGGTCCCTAACAGTGCAGCTCTGGAACGGCCAGGCTGCTGGGAGCCGCCCATCCACCGGTGGCACCAGGTCAGGTTGGGGAGGCCCGTCCCTGGCCGTGCTGGCCTGCTGTCCCGGCTGGCACACAAGGGTCAGGGATATAGATGTAGGTGGGGTCATCTGTCCTTGGAGGAGCCGTGGTGGAGACTGAGCCTGGGTCTGTGTGGCATAATGAAAGTAGGCGGACAGGCCTCAGGGCAGGCTGGATGCCACAGGAGGGGCCACGGTGGTACCTGTCAGGGCCCGAGGCCTGCAGCCCTCCTGCTGCCCCTCCCTGCAACCCGCCCTCTGCCATCTCCCCCCAGGTCTCTGATGCCCCTGCTCGACTCGGACTCCGGGCTCCTGGTCCTGGCAGCAAAGGTGACTGAGCAGCTCTGCCCACCCACCCTAACACCTCCATCTGGCCTGTGGGGCAGCGCCATCACTTGTAGCCCCCCAGGAGGAGGGGCTAGAACAGCACAGTCCAGCCCTGAGAGTCCTGCACCAGGCCTCCACGTCTTCCCTGGGAGGCTGCGGGGCAGCAGTGTCTGCACTGTCGGCACCCCACAAACCCTGGCGTGACCCTCCTGCTCACACCATGCACGGGAGCAATGAGCTGGGGGACTCAAGTCTCCCAGGACTCAGCTTGGTGCCCAGCGTGAGGTGGACCCCAAGTCCTCATGGGGTGGAGGGGGAATGGTGCACTCCCCAGGCCCTGCCTAGACCACCAGCATGTGGCCGGGGTCAGAGCTCAGGCTGGGCTGTTTCAGGGCGAGAGGCAGTTGTGCTGCTACGAGGTGGCTCCACAGCAGCCGGCACTGAGTCCAGGTGAGCCCTGCTCCTCCTGCTCCTGCTGCTCCCCTCCTCCCCTCCTCGCCCCTCCCCTGCCGCCCTGACCGCCCTCCCCTGTGCTGGCACAGTGACTCAGTGCATCCTGGAGAGCGTGCTGCGGGGGGCGGCGCTCGTGCCCCGTCGGGCACTGGCTGTCATGGGCTGCGAGGTGCTCCGTGTCCTGCAGCTGAGCGACACAGCCATCATACCCATCAGCTTTCATGTGCCCCGCAAGGTAAGGGGGTGCCTCTGGGGGGCTGGGGGGGCACAGGCCTGGCCTCATGACTGCCCGCCACCTGCCCCAACGCCG